CCTGACGCCTTTCTGGGAATAAAGCAGCACCCTCAGTAGCAGAAGAAGTAATTAAAGGACTCCTACTGCACATGCACGAGTTCATGGTACCACAGACACACTCTGCAGCTTGCACACAGTTAAAGCGTAACTCATAGCTCTGCATTGATGAAGAAGTGTGTGCACACACATTTCGAAAGGAGACCCAGGCACAGACACTTCTCCTTCTGCCATGCCCATATTGATGTGCAAACACACACATTCACTCCTATTCCTGCTCCTGCACCCAAGTCTGCACATGCACATATGAGTGAACCTTCTACTTTCAGAGATGTGCACACAAAAAGCAGTTCCCAGCATGGATCTATTCCCACACACTTTCATATACACCTTCCCTTCTTCCCTCCTCAGCTCACCCTGATGCTCACTGGTTTTTGACTCCCCTTGTGTCGCCATTCGGCTGCTGGCTCCGATCCTCCCCTGTTCAGAAAGCAGCGGTGACTGTCTGGACGTCTTACCCTCTGTTCAGCCTGTGGTTACACAAACCATGCCAGGGCCTGGCCTGACTCCTTGTCCTTCCCCACAAGGCTCCAGCCCTGCTGCACTTGTTCCCAGGTTTCCTCAGCAGCATCCATGGCTGATTGTGTCCTTGCCTGTGTTCCTGGTTTGTGTGTGCTTCTGTTCAGGCAGGGTCCACAGGAATCCATGTGGGAGCAGAAATTCTTGCATGAATCCCCCCCAATGTGCAGGAGCATATGTGTCTTTGTGTGTCCGTGTGTGTCTGTGTCCTATTTTGTTACTCAAGCAGTGAAATGTGTTCATCTCACTGGAGACGCTCTCCACTGCTCTGCCCTCAGCATCATAGAGCAGCATTTGCCCAGATTCAGAAGGAGCCTGGGAGCAGCTGAACAATGATGCAGCAGCGTGCAGGAGATTTGTCCAGGGAAGAGGCGCTGAAATGCAGTCCCTGCTTCCTGAGCCCTCCTTCTCCCGCTGCTCTAAACTACACACTCTGCATCTGCC